TTTCTAAATAACATTGTACTTTACTTCCGTGAATAAAACAAGCATGCTAACACAGAAATGCACGATGCTTAATTAGAGGTGAATGTAGCTAGAGGAGGTGGTAGACTATGAAGAATGTCCATTCTTTGCTTTACGCTATGCATGGGAAACGTGGCAAGTCAAAGCATTCAACTGTTGCTGAATTTCAATTGAATATCATAAACAAAACCCACTTTTTTGTTTTAGGGTGGACCATAATTTCATAGCTGCAGTGCTGAAATGCTACAAAGAAGTAAAAAAAATGGTTCTATTTTCAGACACAGCTGAACTTCTCAAGGCAAACAAAGTAAGTGTTTGAGCAAATGTCTGCATGTAGTTTTAGATCTAGCCTGTCCAATATGTAATTATTAGCATGATTTATACATAATGTGACTTATCTAAATGGAATATGGATTCCTTACTAGGTTGTTTATCCAGAAACTCTTGGAACTTGCTCCTCTCATACTCAACCGATTGCTGCATCAGATGAGGCCTGATGCTGCTGACCGCAAAGTTAGCCATGTCCACCTTCATCAGGTCCAGCAAGGAGAATATCTGTCTGAGAGGGAGGAGGACAGAGACAGACACAGAGAGTTATATTTCATGAAATTCTATCCTCCATCCAACTGAGCTGGACTTGTTATTCACAGTCTGCATTAAGTTTGGGGACCTGCTAGCTCATCTCTTATCATCCTCTATGACACCGTCACTCCAGAACAAGCCTACTTCTGCACTGTAATGCACTGTAATGAAATTACACCATCTAAAAATAAACTACAGCCTGAAACATGATGAACTAATAATAGTCTCTCTTGTCTCTTGGCTTACTTGAGCAGAGGCACAATATCACTGATCTCTTTTAGTTTTCTGATGTCCTCATCTCTGCAGGGGGCGCACAGCGAGCCCATCATCCCAACGATGAACTGGGACAGTTGGCTGATGTCAAGCGCTCCGTTCTCAGCCTGCTGCTGGATTAGAGGCAGGTCCAGAACCTCCTCGATATGGGAGCGCAAACGACCGTGGCCCGGCAGCAAGAAAGACAGCAGTGTCTGGATGAGCGGGGAAATAGAGGAAGATTGAAGGCAGCCAAGAGAGACACACTGTAGTATATGTCCATGTATGGTAAAGCTGTGTGCAGCCATGACCTTCTCAAAATACAAACTACAGCAGGATCATATGTGAAGAAAGATGGTGGCAGCTAAAATAAGACCTCACATTTGCACACACAGTTTTGAAATAAATGGTTTATTTCCTGAATATAACAAAAACCTCTGCCTCACCTCTTTGACCTCAGCTAGCAGTTTGATGGCATGACTGTATGTCGGCGGATCCTCCTTCAACTGATCTTCCAAACAATCCCAGAATGCTTTGTGCATTATCTCCTTAAATCTGCGCTGCAAACTGTACGAGGGACAGGGGGGACTTTTACTTCTACAGCTAGAAAGAACTCAATTTAAAAGACATGTATTAAAAATATCTGATCAGACTCTCACCTTCCTTCAGGAAGCTCTGCAGGTTTGACTTGAAATGACTGGTTGACCATTATTTCATGGGCCAAAGCCATGTTGGTCATTCCTTTAGCTGTCTCCATCAGCTCCTCTGCAGAGACGAACCTGGGAGGGCTGGCTGTGAGGGGAAAGAAAACCTTCTTAAAATGATTTATTCCAACATTATACGTAAGAGTGTGCTTTCCTACAAACTGCCAACAAACTGCATTCAAACTAATTTGCAAACAGAGTGCATTATCTCTTACTTCCAAGTGGATTTAGTGTGGCAGTAGCAAAAGCAGGCACACACCAGCTCCAAAATGTGTTAATCCCCTCAAGTATGCCTGCTGTCAGTGTATCCGCAAAGCTCTGTGTTCTGCACACCTGCCTTACAGCAAAGTTTCTATTGTTGCCCCTAAAGGATAATCCAATTTATAACTATGAGCATGAGCAACGAGTCGTAAATTCCCACTCACACGTCTTCATCTACCAAGTGTAGCAGTACGTAAATGCAAAACTTGGGAAACTTGATAAAAATCACGGTGGGAACAATCAGATAATGTAGCTTTTCCTCAATTAGGACTTCTAACGCTAATCATTTGGGCTTAATTAAAAAATGGGTGTCTTTGACTATGGCATTGCTCCCAACTTTATGTTTATTTTAGTTTATTTGTTTATTTGTCTGGGTTCTGGCTTTGTGGGACAGTTTTTAAATTGACATGCTGGATTCCAGGGGTCAGCAACCGTAGGCATGAGGTTAACTGGGGCTAAAGAAAGCTAAAGCTGATGTCATACTAGACCTCATGGAGAGGGACATTTCAGAGGGTGTGCCAGAATAGTGCGTGTGCTTTGCCTGCCAAACACGTTATATGCCAATCATCCCATCTAAAGCCCATTAAATGAATGAAACTGCTAGAAATTATGCAACAGACACTAATAATCACTTTACTATAAAAAGCAAAATGCCATTTACTCATAGTGAATATTTCAAGGAAAGCAAACTGCGGTGCTGATTTAACCTTTAGTTGTACATATTACCGCAACCACGTCAGGCTGGGGTGAACCATGCGTACGTGACGACCAGATGAGAATTAGAGGAGCTGTGTTGTTGAAGAGTTAAGACAGGCGAGCACTTGAGACAGGAACAGTTTATTTGCAACCCCCTGAAGGAACATGCTTGTGAGGCTGGTGCTTTCCCTCAATAGAACAATAATCTTCCCCTCCGTACAACAGGAGGGTTGTTTGTGATCACGTCCAAGTCCACATGTTTGTGCTAATAAAGAACTGCTGAGGACAGACTGAGGAACTGAGTAGTTTCAGTATGTGATAGGGAGCAGACTGGATCCCACATGAAATAAAGAACTTGAAAGCTTTGCACAGCACACAGAGGCCAGCAGCAACAGCAGCTTGCTTTGGATGTCCTGCCCCACAGCTGTCCAACATTAGTACTGTCCTGTGTATTCAGGATGCTGGTCGCCTTGACAACTCTATGAGCAGAAATGCGTGCAGCAGGTTTTCTGCCTTTTCAGTGCTGACGCATACACCTCTAAATGGTTGGGTATGTCCAAAAACAGAGCTCAGCAAAGGGAGGAAGCACCGGGGGCACCTCTAAATGTATTATTGATCTGTATATTATTATCTGTATGTATAAATTGTGGTTGAGTGTATGCTTTTTACTTACTCAAGAGGATAAAAAGAACATTTTAAACTGGAAATCTGAGGTTGCTGGCTCCCGTCCCAATCCATGGAAACCTAAATGAATATCTTCATCTGAGTGAACTTCCTCTTGAAGTGTTTATTCCCTTACTCAGTTGAAACTGATATAGGACCAGGTCCCTGTCTTTTAATCTGTTGCTCTGTGTAGCTGGAGTTCCCCCCTGAAAATCAACCCATTTCTCACCTTGAGGAGTGTTCCCTCTGTGCGGGCTCGGAGTATTCGCCCGGACCATCTTCCTCCCTGTCTCCTCAGAAGCATCCTGCGTCCGCTCCTCCTTCGACCCCTTGTCTGCCTCACCCTCAAGGTGGTCTGCCTCCTTTGGCATGCTAAGGTCTGCAAGGTAACAGATAGTGTTTGATGTTTCAGGTTGCAATCTGAAGTCATTTCAAAAGCTGTAAAGTGCTGAGAGTCAGTAAAATGTCCCGTGATCACAGCACATGTGACATAACGTGTCACATGTAGCAGCAGCAGGGATTTTTCTAGCTAGACACACGGTACTTCTGTGAGTGTATTTCATGTTACAGGACAAGCGGAAGGAGAGATGCAGGTGTGTTGTTGTGATCTACAGATGGTGACATCACCTACAGTAGCGGGAGAGGGGGAGAGGAGTGAATGAGACGCCATCTGACTCGGGTGGTAAACAGAACAAAGCCGCATGGTACTGTGGCCGTCGTTACAGTCTCCTCTGCGGTAACGTTACTAACCTTGTAGCCGGCAGCCCCCGGGAAAGAGATGGGTTCGCTGGGTAGCTCAACTTATCAAGCTACTGTTAGCTTTAGCCAGCGTGAACACCGACTCTCTGTCAACAACAACAACAACAAAGCCTTGTGACGCAGCTACTCCTTCACAAAGCAGCCACAGCGGGATAATGACTCTCACAGCCTTATTCACAGCTGCGCCACTGCCAGACACCGTCTTCAACCGAGGGGAGCTTTTGTTTCGAGCTTATTAACGACGCAACCCTCCTCTGACGATGTTGGGCTGCCGCTAACCGAGCGGCTCTTCCGGTATTGGGTGGGGCTAACATGACGTAACAGTCGAGCCCTCTCCCGCACGCACGCACGCACGCACAATAAACACGTTTCTCATGATTAAAGAGCAGAAGGTGCTAGAAAGGGAATCTCTGGGAATTACTCGCAATATGATGAGACTAGTGCCTTTATTCATCTAGTGGTGTTAAATGTCTACACTACAACATCTACAGCAACCTGTTATACCACCTTGAGGCACTCCCAAATAACACAAACTATAGCAACCGACTGACCGCGTGGTGGCGCTACACCTGCAGGTCTGCTCAGTAACTTCTGAATAGGCTTTTTTCACAGCAGACATTTTGTGATGAAATAGTGTAAACTCAGGTGTTATCACTGATACTGATTAAGGCTCTGTTCCATTCAGGTCAAACAGAGTCAGGGTGCTGTTGTGCATGTGGGCTCAGTGGAAACTCTCTGCTACACTAAATGGAACTGAACCTTAATAAGTATCACTGGTAACACCTGTGTTTACCCTACTATTTCATGACAAAATGTCTGCTGTGAAAAAGGTCTATTGTACACTCTAGAAACAAAATAATTCCCCCCATATTCCTTTGGGTCACTATTAATTTTATCAACATTTTTAATTAGTTATGATTTGTGGTACCAAATTGGCAACAACAAATAAAACGACTAGACCAGGGGGTCAGCAAACTATTTGAAATAAGTGCCATTTTAAAATGCTCTTGTTCTTGTTTATGTTCACATTAAGATTATGACACCACATCAAAATGTTAGTCTCCAGTGGATCTGTAATTTTATTCCATCCATATAGGCAACATGCATAGCAACATTTAAACAAAACATTTCTCTCATAATCAGGACATTGTAATCATATACGAGATCTGGCCTGCTGATAATATGGCACCTCAACATTTCCACACAAAAAACCTCTCCTGCAAACTTACTGGTAGTGTGCCATTGATTAAGCTATTAAGGTTTCTGAACCCTTGTGAAGACCAAGCTGATAAAATTATCAGTAAACCTATTTGGAGATTTTGTAATGTATTTTCAAATTAATTAGTTTAATAAATCATATTTCATCATGTTTAATAAATCGTGTGTAGTTCGCAAATGTTCCAAAAGTTTATATCTACAAGGGTATTTTTGGAATTGTCTATCTAAAGATTCATGTCCAATTCAAATTAAATTTAGTTGTGATTCAAGTGAGCTGGATTCAAATTACCATTTGTTTTAGCAATGTTGCCTTCAAAGTTACATAAATTTGATCCATGTGGAGATCTGACTCACATATGCAGAAAATAAAAAATGATAAATATATTCTAAGTAATGAATTCATATGTATTGAAAAACACAGCCAAGAATAGACCAACTGATGCAAAAAGTAGCTACTGGTGAAACTGACTGAAGAAGACAACAGAGAGGCTTTGTGCCTATGTCATTGTCTTCACAAATCTACAGCATACCAGCAGCAGATTCACCAAAATACTGGTTAAATATCTCTGGGTGGGCTTGGTAGAACTGTCTGAGTAGGCGCTTTCTCTCCTTGGCAGAGATCTTGTTGTCCAGGTGGATGCTGTTTAGCAGAATCCACAGTTCCTGGTTGGTGGTCTTCTTTGTAGAGTCAGTGTAAGTCCTGCTGGAGACCTGCTGACAGAACGTGGAGCCTGAAGGACAGAAGAGAAAAACACTGACTAGACTAGCAACAACTGGATGTTAAAGCTGCTGTATGTAACTTTTATAAAAAATAATCTTTTGTCATTATTGCTGAACTTTTTACTTTATTCTGACAGTAGAACATGAGACAGATAATCTGTGAAAAAATCTGGTTCCTCTCTGTTCTAGTGCTCCTAATGGCATTTACAAGAATCCACCAGGCCAGAACGAATCAGAGCCGAGAAAGATATAAAGACGCTTTTGGTTGAAGGCTTAAAAGAAGGTTGATTGGTAAATCTCATTCCCAGAGACCCAAAGTGTCTTGACACCCTGGGAATGAGACCCAACAATCAACGTTTGTTTGGCCCGGTGGATTCTTATAAATATCATTAGGAGCACTAGGAGGAACCAGAACAACCTTATTTTTTTTATTTTTTTTTTTTTTTACAGATTATCTATCTCATGTTCTACTGTCAGGATATAGTGAAAGTTTTGGCAAATATGACAACAACAACTAAAAAAAGACCTACTGCAGCTTCAAGCCCAACACTGAGATTACCTTGTAAAATTGTTAAGGGAAATGTGTTCGCAAGCAAATGCCAACTTATACATCCAGCAGAAAATTAGGAAATCGTAAATTCAATTAGAGTTGTGTTTCTGGTCACCTGACAAATGTATAGTCAATATTCACGTTACCAACTCCTGAGGGATATCTGGTTGATAAAGCAGCTAGTTGCTATGTCTGCAGTTTGGTATTGGGCAGGTGGTGCACTGTGGGTTTATCAGAGCTTATCTGAGGTTGATAACAGTGGTGAGAGTGAACCAGAACCATAAAGTTGTGGGCCGCAAAACCCAAAAAATGAGCTGATTCAACTGTACTATCAAATAAAGGGCATAAAAAGCCCCCAAAAAGAATTATTAAAAAAAGAAAAGAAAAGCAGATGTGTGTTTAAACCTGTCTATTATCGAAGTGTTTTGTGTTGCATTAACACTCATGAAGTCATTTACCAGTCACATCGGGGTGCTTCCCCTGTACGAGGCTGGCCAGCTTGTCACTCACTCCTTTGTGCAGAGCCCCTGGTATCTGGAGCAAAGAGAATAAAGTCTTAGTGGCAAAGGAATGGCAGAAAATGGTTTGTCGATTAAATTACACCTTAAAAAAAAAATGGCACTCTTTTCAATTCAACTTCCCACTTATCCCTTTCAATGAAACCCTTACACAAATGTCTGTTACAGCATTTATGAACTATATTTTGCAACTCAATTTGAGCAATTTGTTTACACAACAATGTGTTATAGCACCACTAAATGTCAAAGCTCAAACAAACAACTTCAGACAAAGTCAGCCTCAAACCAGTGAAATCAATTCTGGGTTGACCTTTTGGTAACAAATTGTCAGGGCCAGGCTCTGGATTGTAGACTGAGGAAGAGTTCCAGATTTTAGATTTTGATTAACAGCCTAAATGTAATTAGAATACATTTTTAGGCCATCTTAGCAGGTGTGGGGAGTACTACTTATATTGTGTTGTGTCTTCTGTGGCTCTGGAAGAGCTTCGTCAAGTTTGACAAACCCTGATGCTGTCACCAGGGTTGGGCTCGGGCCACAAATTCACAGGAAGTTTTGTTACACATGCAGGGAGTGTGTGATGAAAATCATATTCAAATTACACCACAATGAAGGGAAGATGGTGAATAAAGCATTATATTTTAAGTTTTATGAGCAAAAACTAGCTAAATTAATGACCTCCCCCTAAGTGATAATAGTTAGTGTAATGCTGGTGACTCTAAGCATTAACTGTAAACTTGATAGTTACTGAATTAAAACTACCTTCGGGTTGTGGGTAAAGCAAGAGCACAGGGACAGCTTGATCTGTGTCACTTGGTCCACTTTAATGTCTGCTTTAACAGTAGGACAACGGAACACTGACAACATCTACAAAATAAATCTTCACAAAAATAATTCTAATCTTACATTAGCATGCTAATATGGTAAACGTGGGAATAAATACAGTATTGTGAGTCAAGGTAAAGACCCAAGGAGAGGAGATGTATAATGTATTCTGACAGCATTCCCTTACCTTAAAAATTTCCTTCATGTTGCTGAGCATGAAGACCACCATAAGGTCCTCTTTCTCCTTTGACAGAGTCTTGTTGTGGAGGATTGCTCTAGAGAAGGACTTCTTCACAGCCAGTCTGTTCTCCATCTAAAGGTTCAACAGCATCAACATCTTTAATGTCAAACTACAGGAAAGAAAATTTAAAAAATAAAAAAAATAACGGGTGGTACAGCTTTGGAAGCAAGCCCTCTTTTTAGAAAAAAATATTGTTTTGGGATTTTTATTGCCTTTAATCCATAGTGACAGCTGAAAAATGAAAGGAAAGGCGAGGGGGGGTTGTCACGCAGCAAAAGGCCACGGGTTGGAGTCGAATCCATGGCCACTGCAGCAAGGACTCAGCCTTGGTACATGGGGCGCCAGCTCTAGCAGATGAGCTATGTGGGCCTCTTCTTCTACCTGCCTCTCATCTCTCATCTCACCTGCAGAAAAGTTAAAAATCATTAACCAATATATGATTCAGTCGCTGGCTCTTACCTCCTTGTCCAATCTTATCCTCTGCGGGTCACCTGCCACAGCCATGAATGTCAGCAGCCTGCGCAGCTCGTCTCTGCAGGCAGGAGGCAACAGCTTCAGACACAGCTGCAGAGCCTCAAGAGCCGTGCCCAACTTAGCATTCACTGGGAAGGCAGGAAAGACACAAATATAAGTGATACTGGGAACAGGTTAGAGAAACTGGCTTGGTTACAACTCCTGGTTCACTTACAATAATGCAGTGTGAATCTAAATAAGTGACATTTAGGAAATCACAGTTTCTAACAATCACAATCCTAGCTCTTACCCAGCAGGTCAGTGATGGCAGTGTAGATGTCGGTCATGTGCTGGGGCAGCAGGGGAGGCCTGTCTGTGTGGCTGTAGTGCTTCACCAGGGTCCCGTACAGCCGCAGCTTACACTGGGACAAACCACTCTGGGAGAGACGAGGCTGCACGTCACTGTTGCACTGGCCTCCATCCTGTGTACTGCTAGCAGCTGGCACTTGCTCACAGCTGTCCTGATCTCGCAGGGCACACTGAGGCAGCTCCCTGCTCAGCTCCACCACTGGCTGATCAGGGAGGAAGTCCAGACAGTCCAGAGCTGCACAGAGCCACTCATCTTCCCTGAGGGATAAAGAGCAAAACATTTTTCATTAGAATTGAGAAGACTGATACCACTCTCAAGTCTGTACAGTAGGAAAGCTACGGCTATGACGTTGAACAATTCTTTGATATTCTCCTTTACTTTCATTTGAGGCAATAATTGAGATTTTCTGTATATTATTTTGAATGTTAAAAGAACTGATAATATGGAATGCAGGCACACTTATTTAATCTAATATGTTGAGATGCAGTTTGCATTCACTGTTACCATCGGGGGTATCACAAGTACGTAACATTAAAATATGCAGTCACATCTGCATCTTAAGTTGCTTACAGGTGTTAAGTAAGATTAACTCAACAGTCAGAACGTACTGAGAGTCCCTGAAGGCCTTGAGGATCTGCCTGTCCAGGTGGTTGCTGCTGTAGATCAGGTCTGGGTTACTGTGAGCCAGCAGGTTTGATGGAGGAGAAGAGGATGGGGTCTGGCTGCACTGAAGCACCCCTTCCAGCAGGGGGAGCTCCACCAGGTTTAAGAGCCTGAGCAGAGTCTGCTCCTGCCACACTTCGTCTACCACTGCGGAGTGGAGCGCGGCAAATAATTACTGTACAAAGTAAGGCTTTTTTAAATAAATACATTAGTTTCTGCCCATTATCTCCTCACTGTTTAGTCTTTGATTTACATTTGTCTGGGAAAGGTTTGAGTGTAACTAGTAAATGTGATGTGGTCAGTGCTTTGAAGCCCCCCCCAACCGAAACCTGTGCTTCAACCAAGGAAAAGGCAAACAGGATGAAATACACACATGAGGACATTAGTGTCTTACATGATTGTGGTAAAGCAGTGTCAGACTGCACTCTGCTGGGACTCAGAGACAGACTGTCCACCAGAGGCTCCACTGACAGGCTGGCAGGGGCAGCAGTGTCCAGCTGGTTGGCCTTTATGGGTGTCTGAGTAAATCTGACAGGGTAGGACATCTGAACATGTGACCCAGTGGGACATGTCTGCTCTTCCTGGCTGGAAAGCAAAACAGAGACACAACCATTCGTATATTCAGGTGATTATACAC